TTTATTAATGTGTTTTTTGTTTTTGGGTTTTTTTTGTGGTATCAGGGATTGAACTCAGCACCCTTTACTTGCCAGGCAAGCACTTATTCCACTGAACCATCTCCCCGGCCCTCTAACCTCTATTAATTAATAACCTTCAATGTGTACATAAGTATGGTCCCTGCCCAAATGCTGGTTCTCCTCTCGGCAGCACTGAGCAAACAGGCTGCCTCCATCCCAGCTGGGCGGGCTCCTCCTGGCGTCGGGGAGGCCCAGGTGCTGTCTTGGTGCTGGTGGCCACGATGCGCCGATTCAACCCTGGCAGCTGAGACTGCATCACTGTCTCTGAGCCCAGTGCCTGGTACAGGCCTTGTGCAGAGTGGGTCTTTTGTAAAATGGATTTATAATTTTGTGCTCTGATTGGTCAGATCTAAGATGTGTAATACCAGGGATTGAACTGAGGACCTTGTGCTTGCCAGCCAAGTGCTTAGTCTACTGAGGCATCTCAACCCAGCCCTAAGATGTGTAATCCTAAAAAAGTTCTGTTAAGTAATGCTTTATTTTGTTCCTTGTGAAGGGCCGAGATGGGCGGAAGACAGTGGTTCCTTCCGTCGTCTCTGTAAGCGGGGACCTAGACCGCGGCGTGCTGGCCTACCTCTACGATTCTTTCCAGCTCACAGAAAATTCCTTTACAAGGAAGAAAAGTCTGCACAGAAAGGTGCTTTGATATTTCAGAGATCAAATTGGGAATTAAACAGAGGGCTGGACTGGATTTTTTCCTTTTTTATATTAATTGTGCTTCCTTTTCTTCCATCTTTGCCCTAGGTACTTAAACTTCACCCTTGTTTAGCCCCCATTAAAGTTGCTTTGGATGTGGGAAGAGGTCCGACTGTGGAGCTAAGGCAGGTGAGTTAAAGGGGTTAACTGTTGCGATTTTAGGCACATGCTTATATTCTCAGCACCTTGGGAGGCTGCACAGAGGATCCCAAGCTTAAGGACTGCCTGTGCAATTTAGCAAGACCTTGTTTCAGTACAAAAAGGGAAAGTGATCGCATAGCTCAGAGGCCGAATGCCTTGGGGCTTAAGCCTCAGGGACACGAAATAATAACAGTAACTTATGTATAATCACTAGTAATACTTGGTAACCTTGGTAAGCCATGTAAGTTTTTATGCCAATTTGTTTTCTAAATATTTTAAGTAAAGGAACCATGGATAAGTGCCGTGTGATTACAGAGAAGTTGGAGTGTAAAATGTTAGGAAGCTGAGCGCAGCTGAGTGGATTCTACCATGCGTTGTGTTTTTGGTTTTTGGTGTTTTTTTTTGTTTTTTTTTTTCAGAGCCAGGAATTGAACTCAGGCCCTTGCGCTTGCCGGGCAAGTGCTTATTCTACTGAGCCATCTCCCTGGCCCCAATTCTGCCATTAAAAGTCAGCTCCACTCAATCTCATTTTGATGTGTGACATAGTTTTAATATCAAAATGTTTGTTCTGATGTCTAGTGAGGGTTTCCTTCCCCTTTCCCATGTAACCTAACACTTTGATGTTTGTTTGCGTCTGTACTGGGGGTCAAACCTAGGGGCTCCCCTCCACCAAGTAGCATCCTCACACCCCACCCTCATTTTTCAAATAGTCACACTAAATTGCCCAGCTGAAGCTCAAGCTTAAGGTTTTTACTTCTTTTTTTTTTCTAAGACAGAGTCTCACCATGTAGTTGAGGCTGGCCTTAAGCTCATTAGGTAGCCCAGGCTGGCCTCCACCTCGATGCGGTCTTCCTGCCTCAGGCTCCTAAGCGCTGGGGTTAGAGGTGTGCGCCATCATTTTTTTTTTTTTTTACGGAACCAGGGATTGAACTCAGGCCCTTGGGCTTCAGGCCCTTGGGCTTGCCAGGGAAGC